CAAGGGCCTGAGTTCAATCCCCAGTTCCAGCAAAAATAAAAAGTATATCTGTTCTACTATACACAGTATGTAATTGATTTTTCATTTTATTTTGGGTGCTAGGGATGGAATCTAGAGGTCCTGGACCCCAGAGCTATAAAACCAGCCCTGGATCTTGTTTTTGGTTCAGTCTAAAACTGCAGCAAGATCCACTACTTACCCATTAGAACAGCCAAAATGAAGACTAACAATCATGTCCATTATGATGGCAAATGAAACAGGACGTGCTCATACCACTGGCAGGGCAGTGTGTAAGCTGTTATAACTACTTTGGAAATGTGTTTTGCCATTATTCACCACCATGGAAAACACACAGACCCATTCGTGTCAAAAACATTCCATCCTCTGCACAGTCACAACACTTACTTCTCACCCAGCTAGATATACGATGTATAGTAAAATGGGAAGTAAATATACGAGAGCAGGATAGACAACACTGTAATAGCATCATGTAGAGAACAGCAGCGAAAACATCAGGGGCTGGTGAGATGGCTCAGTGGTCTAAAGCACCTACTTAGAACAAGCTAAGCAAAGCAAAGCACAGGTACCACGGTTCAATCCCCCAGCACCACATGCCAGCCAGCCCTGTCCCCTGGTGGGCTGAGTTGGCCACACACACACACACACACACACACAAAATACATAAATAAATAAACAAATAAAAAAAAAAAAGAAAACATCAGCAAGTTTTTGCACACCATGGGTTTCTCAATCAGTGTTCAACAAAAGGAGCAGGACACAGAAGGCCCTGCACTGTGGGCTGGGGGCGGAGCTCTCATCCTGCACACTCCAGGCTCTGGGCCCAATCTCTAGCACCACAAAAGAAAACATAAATAAATAAAAGCAAAAAATATACTGCATACTCAGGAGACTGAGTGAGGAGGATAAATGCTGCAAGTTGGGAGATGCTGTCTCAAGAAAAGAAGAGGGAGGAGGAAAGGGAAGGGAGGGGAGGAGGAGGAGATGATGAGTGTACACTGCATAACTCAATGTATATAGTTCAAAAGTATTAAGGTCAATCTAAAACATGGTATTGGGCTGGGGATATAGCTGAGCAGCACAGTGCCTGCCCGGCAAGCATGAGGTCCTATGTTCAATCCCCAGTAGCCAAAATAAATAACTAAGTATAGTATGAAGGTCATAAATTATAAAAGTGAGGACACATAACACAAGGTATCACGGCACAATGGCTCGTGGTGCAGGCAGTACCACGCGCACACTCAGTCCAGTGTCACATTGAGCAGTACACTGATTTATCCATCTCTCCAGCTGAGGTGCAATACACAAAAAGGTCCAAAAACATAAGCCACTGGGCTTGGTGGCATGTACTTGTAATAACTTTTCTTTGTGAGACTGAGACAGGAAGATCCCAAGTTCCAGATCAACCCCAGGAACTTATTGAGATACTAATTCAAAAATAAAAAGGGGGTGGGCTGGGGAGATGGCTCAGTGGAATAAGCGCTTCCCTGGCAAGCATAATGGCCTGAGTTCAATCCCCGGTTCCACCAAAAAAAAAAAAAAAAAATAGGCCTGGGCAAGGTGGCACACATCTATATTCCCAGCACTCAAAAAGCTGAGGCTGAGGGGTATGATGGCTTCAAGGTTACTTTGCGGAGCTGGAGCGCTAGCCGCGCAGGCCCTGAGGGCCCGCAGCCCTACTGGGCTGGCTGCCGTCCGCTCTACGGCTTCTGGAGGTGGTATCCCTACTGATGAGGAGCAGGTGACTGGTCTGGAGAGAGATCATGCTGGCGGCCCAGAAGGGACTGGATCCGTACAATATACTAGCCCCAAAGGGGGCTTTAGGCACCAAGGAAGACCCTAATTTAGTCCCGTCCATCACCAACAGGCAAATAGTGGGCTGCATCTGTGAAGAGGACAACAGCGCTGTCATCTGGTTTGGGCTGCACAAAGGCAAGGCTCAACAGTGCCCAAGTTGTGGAGCCTATTACAAGATGGTGCCTCACCAGCTGGCCCACTGACCCCCACAGGGGGTTCCCTCGAACGTGCTGTAAAGTCTCTTTCCAATAAAGACGAGCTGGGTATCAGTTCCTTCCCTCGGTGGAAAAAAAAAAAAAAGCTGAGGCTGAGGCAGGAAGATCACTGAGTTCAAGGCCAGCCAGGGCTACAAAGTGAGTTCAAGACTAGCCTGCACTACTAGTAAGACCCTGTCTCCAAAAAACCCAAATAAATAAAGAACCCTGTGAACCAAGTGAAAATGCCTTCTCTTCCACTCCAATGGTAGTGAGAACTGAGTTGTCCCAAAATCTTTATCTCATGCTTATGCACACAATCTTTTCTTACCTCAGGCATGTTCTGTATAATCCAGGCCAAGCGCACAGCAGCTTGCTGGGTACTGAACTTAAAATGGCTCGCTGATAAAAATCGCTTGCGTCTAGTGAAAAAGTAACCCACTTGGCAGTAAGTGTGAAATAGCTATTTAAAAAGAAAAAAAAAGATAGTTAATGTTGAGGCTTCCATGTCAATTCTATACACAAGCAAACAAACCCAATAACGAATAAGTCACTTAACTACTGTGGTGTTCTCAGTACTTCAGAAAATGATCAGTAATACGATCCTAAGCAAATTAGCTAGGAAGGGAAAGACCTTTGCAATGAAGACTACAGTACTCTAAAAAAGGAACGTGAAGATATCAGAAAATAAAATGACATTCTCTGTTCCTCAACAGGCAGAACCAATACTGTCAAAATGGCCATATTTCCACAATTGACTTATTTGATCTTTTTTTTTTTAATTTAGTACAGGGTTTACAGGGTCTCACTACACAGATTAGACTCATAGTGATCCTCCTGTTTTCAGCCTCCCAAGTGATGGGATTACGGGCACGTGCCACCATGCCCAGTCCCAGTCACTATCTCAGTGCGCCCGAGGGGTGGGGCTGGCACAGTATGTGGGGGATCAAATCCGGTCCCTGCACCTGCCTATGGTCCCTGCGCCTGTGCTGAGCTATCTGGCAGTCCCTATCTGATCTTTTTTTTCTTTTTTGAGATAGGGTCTCACTATGCAATTCAGGTTGGACTTGAACTTACAGCGTAATCCAGGCTGGCCTCAAACTTTCAGCAATCCTACTGCCTCAGTCTCTCAAAGTGCTAGCATTACAGATATGCTACCCTACCCAGTGGAGCTACTTGATACTTGACAAAGAGGACAAAACATATAATGGAGAAATAATATCCTCTTTAATAAATGATGCTGTAAAAACTGGCTATCCAAATGGAGAATTCTCGCAGTTCAATCCCGGGCACCACATGCCACACCAGCCCTGCTCCCAGCGTGAGCTGAGCCAGCCAAAACAAATGGAGAAGACTGACCCCTATCTCTCACCATGCAGTAAACTAAAATCCAAATAGCCTATGTTCCCAGCACTCAGGACACTGAGGCAGGAGGATCAAGGCCAGTGTAGGCTACAAAGTAAGCTCAAGGCCAGACTGTAAAGCTAAGTAAAACCCCATCTCAAAAAGACTAAAAAAAGAGACCACAACAAAAAGAAAGAAAAATACACTGCATAATTCAGTTTATATAGTTTTAAGTATTTAGGCAAATCTAAAGCATGGTATTGGGCTGGGGGTACAGCTCAGTGGCCCAGTTTTACAAAATGAGTAAAACTGAAGTCACAGGTGTAGGCAAGGACTTTCTAAACAGAAACCTAGGTGCACAGGAAATAGTTCAAAGAATCAACAAGATCATAAAAAATTAAAAAGCATCTATACAGCAAAAGAAATAATCAACTAATATCTAGAATATGCACAAAGAACTCAAAACAATTAGGCCCTCAAAATAGAAGACCCAATCAAAAAATAGGCAAGTGAAATCATTATTTGTAGTACAAATGGACCAAAAAAACAAAACAAAACAAAACAAAACAACCAATAAGTGGACAATAAATACATGAAAAAATGCTTCACAATGCTCATCTACCTGGCCCTTTTAGTTTCTGAAGAAGGTTTTATTAACATTCCAGGAGAGCTTCCAAAGTGTGATCGTACTGTTGGGGCCTCCCAAGTAGTAGTAAGCACAGTTATTCTTCAATACATGGATGGTTATATAAATTGTTATGGGCCAGGAACATAGCCCAAGTGGTATAAGCACCTGCCTGGCAAGTGCAAGGCCCTGAGCTCGATTCCTGGTACCAATATCCCACAAAAAAATATAAATACATACATAAATTGTTATGAATCTCCCTTAGCAATGAACAGGAATGAGCTAGGGGGTCTGCCCATTAGCTCAGTTGTCTAAGTACCTGCTTAAACAAAGCAGTCAGGCTCGGGATGCTGTGGTTCGATCCCCAGATCCTCAAGCCTTGCAAGACCTGCCCTGAAGGCATCCTGAGCCATCCAAAAAAAAAAAGAAATTCTTCTGAACTTTTAGGGTTGGGGAGACAGCTCAGTGGAATAAACGCTTCCCTAGGCAAGCACAAAGGCCTGAGTTCAATCCCCAGTTCTGCCAAAAAAAAAATGAAATGAGCTTGCCATAGCCAAACTTAGTATCTTGGTGACAGCTCAGAAAAATATGCCAGAAACACTTCCAACAGCCTTAACCAATAAAACTAACTTTGCTCCTGGGCCTACTGACTGCAGAATAGGGCTCTGCTGCCAGGACAGCGCCTGGGGCCGTGTGGGCTGCACGGTTCCGTGGCTGTGTGCAACTTTCTGCTTTGAAGAAAACCTCTCATCATGCTCATGCTCAGTATCATGTGGACAAAGAGCTCCAAATGCTCGCTTTTATGCTTAGGGCCATGGTTTCATGTCAAGTTTTAAAATCTGGGGCTGGGGAGATGGCTCAGTAGAATAAGTGTTTCCCTGGCAAGCACACGGGTCTGAGTTCAATCCCTAGTTCCACCAAAAAAAAAAAAAAGGGGGGGGGGGCTGGTGAGATGGCTCAGTGGTCTAAAGCACTGAGTGGTCTACTTAGAACAAACAAGCTTAGCAAAGCACAGGGACCACGGTTCAATCCTCCAGCACCACATGCCAGCCAGCCCCGCCCCCTGGCAGGCTGAGCTGGCCACACACACACACATAAATAAATAAATAAATAAATAAAAAAGTTTTAAAATCTGAGGGCCAGCAAGATAGCTCAGTCGACTAAGGGCCTGGTTAGGCAAGCACTGGGACCTGGGTTTGATCCCAGGCACCACACACTGTGCCGGCCCCATTCCTGGGTGCACTGAGCTGGCCATGAGTCTGGGCGTGGTGGCACACACCTGTAATCCCAGCACTGTGGAGGCTAAAAACAGGAGGATCACTACAAGTTACAAGTGTGCACAGAGACCCTATACCAAACACATTAAAAAGAAAGAAAGAAGGAAAGAAGGAAAGAAGGAAAGAAGAAGGAAGGAAGGAAGGAAGGAAGGAAGGAAGGAAGGAAGGAAAGAAAGAAAGAAAGAAAGAAAGAAAGAAAGAAAGAAAGAAAGAAAGAAAGAGAGTTGACCAGATAGCTCAGCAGATTGAAGTGCCTGCTTAGGCAGACACAGGGGCAGGGGGATTCACTCCCCTGCCTGCCCTGCTGGCCCCGCCCCCGGGGCAGGCTGAGAGGGCAACTGAGACTGAGTGTGGTGGCATGTGCCTGTAATCCCAGCACTTGGAAGGCTGAAAACAGGAGGATCACTAGGAGTCCAATCCGTAGAGAGACCCTGCAGACCCTGTATTAAATACATAAAAGAAAGAAAAAGAAAAATCGCTCTTAGTGGCCAGCCTATGCTACATAAGTGATTTCAAGGCCAGCCTGGATTACATAATGAGACCTTGTCTAAAAAAAAATCAACTGCATAATCTAAAATTATACATTTCATATTTTATGACATTTCCTTATCGTCACTTTGAAATCCTTTCATTAAAGATGTGTGTCCTTCCTATAAAAGACACTTTCAATATTTAACCTTATACATTATTACAGCAAGGTACATTTATATTTATATTAAACAAAAAGGAAAATAATGCCAGTGGGATTATGGCAGAATGTTCTCGCTCAGGCAATGCTATTTTATTCTGTACTTGTGTTTATTTTCATATAAAATTAGCATCTTCAAACACTTAGCAAGTAAAACTGCTGCTCTGGTCTAGAAGCTCCCTCAGGCCCAATCTGGTCTGCGTGCAGGGGCTGAGGAAGCATTTCACTGTGAGGCACTGGAAGTCCTAAAGTAGTCAATACAGAGCATTAATTACAGTCTCCTTCTTGTAAGTCGAGGAGACTGCAGAGAAATGACACAACCGTGCATGGCCAGTGCTGATGCCACAGCGACTATCACCATCACCATCATCATCACTGTCACTGATGGTGCCAGGCTCACGCGCTAGCATCTGCTCATCACCTGCCTCAATATCTGCCTTATTACGAAAGACGATGATATTTGGATAGTTCATTCTCTCTTTTCCATTTATCAGTGGCAGAAACATGAATTCCCACAAACATGTAAAACTATGTTCTACTACAAGCCTCTTGAGGACCCTCTAAAATACAGCTGCTAAGTATCTAAATCTACCATGTTAGTTTTGGGGTAACTACAACTAAATTTCATTGATTTGGAGATGTGTGTTTCTGTATTATCTTGTTTTAAAACAATGGCGGGAAATTATCAATTAAGTCTACAGTTAAGAGACATTTACAAAAAAACATTTAAATCGTAAGAGGTAAGAAAAAGATTACCGGGCTGGTGAGATGGCTCCGTGGTCTAAAGCACCTACTTAGAACAAGCTTAGTAAAGCACGGGGAACGCAGTTCAATCCCCCAGCGCCACATGCCAGCCAGCCCCGCCCCCTGGTGGGCTGAGCTGGCCACACACACACACACACACACACACACATAAATAAATTAAAAAAAAAGAAAAAAAGAAAAAGATTACCTTCATTAAAAGAGAGTTATTGCACGATTTTACAAGTTCAGTGGCTCTTAGGTCTTGCCAACTAATGAAGTTGTGAAAATGCTTTCCTGTTTTCCTAAGGAAGATGGAAACAGTATGTTGAGACTCAGCATAAACCACCGACTAAAGATCTGCCCAGAAAAAAAACAAAAAAACAAAAACAAAAACTGGAGCCTGAACAGTGATTTCAAAGCATGATGAAACTTTCCAATTTCTCAAAATTAAAAAGGGCCGGAGATGTAGTCCAGCGAGAGATTACTAGGTTCAACCCCTAGAACTGTGGGGGTGGGAGAATAAGAAATACAGTTTTTAAAGTTCTTTTCCCTTGAGGCTCCTGCATATCAACTTCTGGCATCTATACCCGCCAGCGGGCCCTGGCCTTTCACACGCTGGGCACACCCGTGTGACTGAGCCACACCTCCAGCCCTGGTGTCCTCCACTTCAGCATCAGATTCAGGCCTTGCTCCCTACTTCATCTCCAAGCCTCCTCCTGTGTAAACTTAACTGTGCTTGATTCTCAAGACTGTCATTCCCCACCTTACCTAAGAGCTCTACACTTAGGGTCACATTTTCACTGATTTCAACAAGTATTTAGAAAGCAATCTGTGCCAGCAGGGATAGGGAGCTGACCTATAAACAAAGGCATGGTGTCTTTTCCCTGAAGAATACATGTTTCCTCCTAATGAATACTTTTTCTACTGTGGAACCAAAAAACAATTGCTCAATTGTGGCTAATATGGTTAAAGAGGAAAGAAGGGAAGAAACTCACAAGATGAAAGTGGTGTTGTTAGTTTGTAACATGGTACAAGACAACCTGGAGAACCAGAGCCAGGTGTGGCGGCACACACCAATAGTCCAGCCTAAACTACACTGAGACCCTGTCTCCCAAAAGCAAAAAAAGGAAAGATTGCAAAGAAAATGAATGTCAAGTGGTAGCACAGATTCTAGTACTTGGCCCTGATTTGCAGCAACTTCTCTCTAAGGATAAAGGCAGCGACCACCGATCCCTGGGGCTGCACTCAGACTCATCCTGGTGGTCAGTGCCGCGCCCTACGGAGCCTGAAGCTGGTGAGCAGGCACAGCCCTCCAGATGCTGTTTCTGCGTTTCTGTGACTCACTGGCACACCCCCTGGCTGAGGTCCCCAAGAGACACAGTGACTGAAGAAGTAAAGATTTTTCTTGGAACAAAAGGAACTCAAAAGAACCAAACAGAGGAGGTGTCATTTAGAGGGACTTCAGAAAGCAGGCCCAACGCTCCACTGATCAAATATTCTGAGAAAAACTTTCATCTGAAAAAAAAAGAACAGGAAGACTCAAGGGCTGGGAACCATGAACACGGTGTTTCCTGGTTTCTGACGGGCAGGGAGGAGTAAAACAAATAAAAGAATCCAAGTTTCAGATTTCCCAAGTGCAGTCAGGAGGAAAATAAAGCTTCCAGGGCCAAGGACCGTGGGGGGTGGAGAGGACAGAAACAATGCAGAGGGAGGACTGGCATGAGCTGGACTAGAGCAAGGGACATGCTGTCCTGCCAGGCTGTCTCTTCTTCTCTCATAGAGTGGCAGGAAGCATAACTCCTGTGTTGTATCTTTACTGCTCCTGGGGAGCTGGTGGAACCTACTGGTTTTGTACAGCAGGGGCTTGCTGGGCC